GATTTTGCTAGCCCGGAATGGGGCTTTCAATGGAAATTTCCCATCTACTCTGGTATTTTCGGGAACATTTGCAGCATGGCACAGCTTGGTAACCAGAGAGGGGAAGTAAAACCATTTGAGTACTAATGGGGAGCGAATGAACATCTCATCACGAAGGAGCTTGGTGACATCAAAATCCTGGTGGGTCATAAAATAGTAGATAGCTGTTGCACGTGGCCCATTGAAATAGGTAGTGTTGTTGGAAGGTAGCAAACGACTGTTGGTAATTGTGAGCCAACACTTATCCCCCCAATTGAGAGACTATAAGTTCAATGTGATTCGGTGGTTTATCCATATATGCTCCCTGTCAGGCACACATATTGCTTCAAGAATTGGTGCCCACCAGATAGTGGGGCGATGATAAGCAATGTAAGTATCTCTATCCCCAGTGAATACTGGCAGCCGGTACACTCAGCGGATGGCCTCAAGGGACGTATTTACCCAAGTGTTTCGTACTGTGACCACCCTGTTATCATGCTCTGGGCAGTTAGCGTAGAACTCGCTAACAATCAGTACATTCACCTCCTCCGATTCGTCAAAGAAGATGTACAGCTGACACCTCCTCAACTCTGCAAAGATATTTAGGCATTCCACATACAAGGCTTGTCGGTCAATATGTACTTCAAGTAATAATTTCTTGGATGGCTTGGCATTATACCTGTCCTTAGCTGGTTTGGAGACAAACCTAGCGTGGTCAAACTGTTTCGCAGTAGCTTGACCACGAGCTCTAGAAGAACTGCCCGGTCCACTAGCTGAGGACCCTGTGGTATGTCTTTTCCTGGATTGATGAATTGTACCTGCCAAAAATAGAGCCTCTTATTAGTGAGGTTTGAGTTGTGTGAACCTTGGGTGGTTACTCAGACTTCACCACTACCATGGTCACATTAGACATTACCACTACATTGGGGAAATTTCACAAACACCTTATGAGCAAGGCTCTATCATAACACACCTAGCCCTATGGAAACATCAATTCTTCCCCAAATAAACTATTCGTACTTCACCATTTCACCCCACCACAATTAGTTTTACACACAAAATCACACACTTCTCTACAACATTGTGCTCACACTTCTCTAAAACATTGTGCACATGACCCACTAAAAAGCAGAAAAGAAAATCAAAAAGAGAAAAAAAATTCGACTATAAATACTACAATAATTAATGCATTGAACTTGCATAAAACTAAAACAAAAATACAAGAAAAAAGAGAGAGAAGCCTGACATACCTGGATGTAGTAAAGGGTGAGATGAATGAAAGTTGGGGAAGAGAAAGTGGGAAATGGGTGGTGTGTGTGTGGGAGTGAGAGAGAGGTGAAGAAGACGAAGAAGAAGAAGAAAGGAGAGAGGCGTTGGGTTAGGGTTCTTAGAGAGAGAGGAGATGGGGCAAATTAAGGGGGGGTCAGGTGTTTTAATTTTATTAAGGGAGGGGGGAATTAGAAAAGCAAAGAAAATTAAAAAAAAAATTAAGTCACACTTACCTGGGTGACAGGTGAAGTCGCGACCTACCGCGATCGACCGCGGTCCCACCGCAGCCGGCGTGAGTGAAGGAGGAAGAAACAGAATGTTTGCGTTTCACCACGGTCGTACTGCGGTCGTGCCGTGGCCGTGGTGGATCAAGAATTCTGAGATAGAATACTCTTCATTTACCGCGGTCGCGCCGCGATCACAGTCACGAGGAATTTTGTTTTTTTTTCATAAGGAAGTTACAAAAGAAAAGAAAAACAACAACATCCATGGGTTTCCTCCCACGCAGCGCCTGGTTTAACGTCACGACACGACGTAGATAAGTGCATTTATGGTTCGCTTGACTCTGAGGTTCATTCAGGTGGATCTCTGACACTTCCTTTGGTTCATTCATGCCTGCATATAGTTTCAATCTCTGCCCATTGACTCTAAATGTACGAGAGTCTTTCTCTGAGGCAATCTCTATAGCTTTTAAAGGGAGTACATCGACCACTCGAAATGGTCCAGATCATCGTGACTTGAGCTTACTCGGAAATAGCCTTAATCTTGAGTTATAGAGCAATACCATGTCCCCGGGATTGAAATTTCGCTCCACAATGTTCTTGTCGTGAAACCTCTTCATTTTTTCCTTGTACAACCTTGTTCTTTCAAAAGCAAGATATCAGAACTTGTTGAGATCATGCAATTTTATGGTTCTCATTGTGCCCGTAGCCTCAATGTCTAGATTCAGCTATTTTATTGCCCACCAAGCTCTTTGTTCAAGTTCCACTGGCAAGTGGCAGGCCTTCCCGAATACCAACTTATATGGTGACATACCAATTGGTGTTTTAAAAGTAGTTCTATTGGCCCAGAGTGCATCATCTAGCTTTTTCACCTAATCAATTCTTGTGGCGTTTACATTCTTGGTCAATACACTCTTTATCTCTCTATTAGACACTTCGACTTGTCCACTAGTATGAGGATGATATGGTGTTGCCACCTTGTGGCACACATCGTACTTTGCTAGTAACTTCTCGAAGGCTCGATTGTAGAAGTGAGTGCCTCTGTCACTGATAATAGCTCTTGGGGTCCCAAAATGGGTGAATATATTCTTCTTCAAAAATCCCACCACTACTCTTGCATCATTGGTGGGAAGTGTTGCAACTTTCACCCATTTGGACACGTAATCTACAGCAACAAGTATGTACTTATTACCAAAGGAGCTGACGAAGGGTCCCTTGAAGTCAATCCCCCAGACATCGAACACTTCAACCTCTTGAATTAGGTTTATGGGCATCTCAAGGCGGCGGGAAATGTTGCCGGTTCGCTGACATTCATTACATCCCTTCACCCATTGATATGCATCCTTAAACACTGTTGGCCAGTGAACCCAGCCTCTAGCACTTTTGTGGTTGTCCTGACTCCTCCAAAATGCCCTCCATATGCCGATGCGTGACATGCCAGCAAACAAAAGATTTTTGTATCTCGGGGACACACATCCGGATCATATTGTCAATAAATCTTTGAAACAGATAAGGATCATCCCAACACATGTGGCAGTCACGATAAAACATTTTCTTTTGTACAAAGGAAAGGTCATAGGGAACTATACCGCTTGCCAGGTAATTAGCAATTATGCATACCATGGCACTTACTCAAGGCTTATAGCGAGCAGCTGCTCATATGGAAAGGTTTCCAGAATATCCTCAACCTCAACTGAGTTTTCAGCTCCCTCAAGTCATGATAGATGATCAGTGACTTGGTTTTCTGTGCCCTTACGGTCACAAATTACTAGGTCGAACTCTTGCAGTAATAGTACCCAACAAATCAGGTACGGTTTGGACTCCTTCTCAATCAAGTACCTAAAAGCTGCATGATCAGTATATATAATTACCTTAGAACCAATCAGGTATGATCTGAACTTGTCAAATGCAAACACCACAACCAGCATCTCCTTTTCAGTCATAATGTAGTTCAGTTGGGCTCCACTCAGCGTTCTACTGGCATAGTAGATTGGGTGCATTAGCTTGTCTTTTCGCTGTCCCAGCACTGCCCCCACTGCATAATTACTAGCGTCACACATGAGTTTGAATGGTTGCTCCCAGTTGGGGGCGACAATGATGGGAGCTATGACTAGCCTCTTTTTCAACTCCTCGAATGCTACCCTGCAATCATTAGAAAACAAGAAGGGGTGATCTTTGTCTAACAACTTACAGAGACGGGTGATCTTTTTCAAAGTCTCTTATGAATCTCCAGTAAAAACCGGCATGCCCGTGGAAGCTCCTGATTGCCTTGACTGAAGTGGGAGGTGGCAGCTTTGCTATCGCATCAACTTTAGCATGGTCTACCTCAATTCCCTTGCTTGATACCCGGTGTCTCAAGACTATGCCCTCTTGTACCATGAAATGGCACTTCTCCTAATTAAGTACCAGGTTAGTCTCAATACATCTTTTCTGCACACGGGATAGATTTATAAGGCACTCATCGAATGAGTTTCCCACCACTGAGAAATCATCCATGAACAACTCCATTATGTCTTTGACCATGTCATTGAATATGGCCATCATGCACCTTTGGAATGTGGTGTGTGCATTGCATACGCCCAAGGGCATCCTCCGAAAAGCATAAATGCCAAATGGGCAATTGAAGGAGGTTTTCTCTCTGTCCTCTGGTGCAATGGAGATTTGATTGTACCCTGAGTACCCATCTAGAAAACAAAAGTGAGACTTCCCTGACAATCTGTCTAGCATCTGATCAACGAGTGGAAGTGGGAAGTGGTCTTTTCGGGTGGCCAGATTTAATTTTTTGTAGTCCATGCAAATTCTCCAGCCTGTGATGGTTCATGTAGAGATTAGCTCATTGTTATCATTTTTTACCACCGTCATGCCACCCTTCTTAGGAACATATTGCACCGGGCTAACCCAGTTGATGTCAGAGTTTGGGAAAATGATTCCCGCATCCAACCACTAAATCACTTCCTTCTTCACCACTTCCTTCATGTTGGGGTTCAGCCTTCTTTGTTGCTCCCTAGAAGGTTTGTGTCCCTCTTCCAACAGAATTTTATGCTTACAATATGCTGGGCTGATCCCCTTAATGTCTGCCATGGTCTACCCAATGGCAGTCTTGCACTCCTTGAGTACCTGCAAAAGTTGTTGTGCCTGCACATCTAACAAACTAGATGATATAATAATATGTAATGTGGAGTTAGGTCCTAGGAACTTATACTTGAGATGGGCGGGCAGTGGCTTTAATTCTAGCTTTGGTGGTTCTTCTATGGATGGCTTGCCTGGAGGAGTTTCTCTGTTTTCTAAGTGCAGGGGCTCGAATTCAAGAGTTCTATCCCAGAACCCTCTGCCCTCTTAAGCCAAGACCCATTCTGCTAGTTCATCCCCATTCACCTCATCTAGATTTACCAGACATGCAGCAAAACGGTCGTCAATAGTCAACGTTTCATCATCAGCTTTTACGATTACATCCACGGCATCAATAAGAGAGCAGTTAGAGAATTCACTCAGTCACCTCATAGATGTCTGCACATTGAATGTTATCTCCTCATCGTTCAATCTTATCTTGAGCTCCCCAGGTTCACAATCAATGAGAGCTCTCCCCGTGGCCAAGAACGGCCTTCCAAAAATTATCGCAATTTCTTCATCTACCTTGCAATATAGAATCACAAAATCTGTAGGGAAGACAAATTTCCCTACCTGAATCAACACGTTATCCAAGATACCATAAGTTCTTTTCACGGTCTTGTCAGCTAGCTTCAACAACATAGATGTGGGTCTAGCTCTTCCAATCCCCAACCTCTTATAAGTCGCTAGGGGCATAAGATTTATGCTAGCCCACAAGTCACAAAGTGCCTTGGCAAAAGCAAAGCTACCAATGATGCAGAGAATTGTGAAACTCCCTGGGTCAGACAGATTCTTAGCAACTGGTCTAGTCACCATAGCACTGCATGTCTGAGTAAGAGTCACTATGGCTAGGTCTTGGAAATTGAATTTTCGGGACATCAAGTCCTTCAACATTTTTGCATAACCAGGCATCTCCTTCAATTCATCAATCAATGGAATATTTACCTGGATTGTTTCAGCATCTTCAAGAATTTCTTGTATTGTTCCTCCTTCTATTACTTGGCCAGCCTCTGTCGGAATGGTACTAGATGTCTCTTCTTCCCAATGATTTGGGTATTTTCTTTGTCAGACACCACCTCAACTACCGGTTCCTAGGCTATCTCAGTTTCTTTCTCAGCCTTAATCTGTGCGTTATGTTCTTCCTAGGCAGGCTCCATTGTCACCTCTGTAAGTTTCGTTGAATCATCTAGCTCAATGGGCACTGGTACAAGTGTCTCAGCCTGTCTGCTTTCTCGGCCCTGTCTTTCTCCAAGTCTAAGTCTCTGCCTTTACGTAGACTCACTACTATCAACTGCTACGGGCCTTGATCTTTTGGATTTACATGCGTGTCTGCAGGCAATGTCCTAAGAGGACGATTATTCAAAGACATCGAAATCTAGCCCATCTGCACTTCAATATTCTTAATAGCTGACTCATGTGCATCTACGTTTTCACTTATTTTTGCATTTGACCCAATAACCTGTTGCATCATTGCCTCGAGTCTAGCAAACTTATCTTCATGTCTTCAACCATGCTGCTGCTAAGGTGGATGATAACCGTGCTGCTGATTTTGATTATTATATCCCTGTGGCCTTTGGTAAGGTGCGATATTATTGTGAAGTCTCATACCTCCCATGTTACCATTATTGATCTGTGGCTGGACTGGCTTGTACGACTGATTTTGTTGGCTCCAATTTTGACCACCCTGTCTCTGGCCTCCATAATTAGACACATAATTCATGTCCTCAGGGTAATTACAATGATCATTTTCTGCATTCCACTGGTTACCAATTGGCTGACTAATGCAAGATGTGCATAGGAACCCATTGGTAGTACATAAAATGTGTACCTGTTGCTTCTGCCCTGACTCTTCCAACATTTTGGTGAGTATACTCATCTGCGTCATTATTGTGGCCATGTTTTCAGCAAGAGTGTTGGATAAATCTAAATACACTGAGTGAACTACTGGAGTAATATGTGCATCTAGTTGTCCAACCCAAATTCTGTGCCATCTTTTCAAGCAGACTCTAGCTTTCTCTCAATGTTTTGCTCAAAAATGTTCTACCAGCTGAAGCATCAACATTACCCTTCAAGCCATCTGCCAAATCCATGTAAAACCGCTGCCCCAACATCTGATCTGGAATACCGTGGTGCGGATATATAACCAACATCCCTTTGAATCGTTCCCATGTTTCTTGCTGTGTATCCATTGATTTCTGTTTGAAACTCAAAATTTCATCAATTTGTTGAGTAGTCTTGTTGGGTGGATGAAACTTGTTCACAAATTGCTTGACTAACTCCTCCCAAGTCGTTATGGAATTAATGGGGAGTGAGTTTAGCCAGGTCTTGGTAGCTCCTATCATTGAGAATGGAAACAACAACAGCTTTATTGCTTCCTGAGTTACATTGGGTTGCCTTTGAGTTTTGCAGATTGACATGAAATTCTTCATGTGCTGTTGAGGATCTTCGATTTGTGACCCCAAAAATAGTCCATTGTTTTGCAGCAAGTGCATTATGTTGTTCGTGATTTGAAATGATTCAGCCTGTATATGCGGGACTAAAATCGTTGTGGCCAAGTTCTCTACTGCGGGTTGTGCCCAGTCATATAGAGCAGCCTCTGGCACAAGAGGTGCCACTGGCGCTAATGGCGCAGCTGGGTCTACCACATGGTCCCCCATGTCTGGTTCGAATTGTTCAGTTCTTTGTTGTTATTTGTTTTTCCGGTTGGCCCGATTCAAGGCCTTGACCAAGTACAACCAAATACTTCACTAGTTCTCGATGAGTTTCTAGGCATGCACCTGTACAACCAAGTCAACAAACGTTAAAATTTCAATGTATAGATTGGATATAGAGAAAACTGACTACACTAAGAATTTTTGTATTTCTTTCAATTTTAATTGATAACACCATTAAGTCCCCGGTTACGGCGCCAAAATTTGATCACGCCCAACTATGCCTTATAAAAAGGACTAAGCGGACGTTGCAAATTAATCTGAGTATTTAGCCCAGAGTTGAACCCATAAAGAATTAACCTATCAATTACTCTTGTTAGACTCACTAAATTCTACAGAATCAACTTCCCAAACATTTTGAATAACAATTGAGGATATTTCTACTAACTATAACTGACTGCAATTAAGTAACTAAAGACTAACTATGATTAAGTTGTAAACAATTAAGAGAAGGTTCTAAGGTTTTGATTTCCCCTATTGATGAAATCCCTTCCTGTTATATTCATACAGATTTGCATAATAATCTCTATCGATTATGAGCACTCTTATTACCGTAAATCTCTCCTGAGTAATTACGACAATTTACTAGATGTGCTCTCCTGAGTTACTCTAGCTGGCCTTGATTACAGCTCACTTTAGATCACACCCAAGGCTTCGTTATCCCTAATCTCGCCTTTAAATCCTCGGTTATTGATCTCTCATATACTTTGGGAGTGGTGATGTTCAACAATTACCTAAATATGCACTCTCTCCCGAGTAATACATACTAAATAGGCACAGCTAATTGAGAATCCTATCAATTAACTATAATAAGAACGTAGTTGAACAAATAGAGATTAAAACGGGTAAACTGTATTAACATAACATGAAGTTCATCCTTTAATAGGTTCCATCAAAACTATAGATTAAATAGTTAGATACTCATTGCAAAGCAAGATAAAACTACAAAAAGTATTCAATGTGCAATTGAAAATAACAAAGAGAAGATTGAAAAACTCTAATGGTTGATTGCTCTTCTCACACTTGTTCTTGCCTCCAAATCAGCCTAAAAACAAGCTTAACCTTTGATTTGCCTAGTTTGTTGAGTTTAAAAGGGTTAGGATAAGTTTCCCCCGATTTACACTTTAGTCCCTAAATTTCTGGCAGTTAAACAGTCGACTGCGGCCGCAGCAGAACACGGCGCGACCACGGTGAAACGCAAGTATTCTGCCTCTCTTGCTTGGCCTACTGCGGTCCAGCTGCGGTCGACCGTGGTCGTGTTGTCATCTTGCCCAGTCCTTCTTTGCCTCTTTCTTGCTTATTTTTCTTGGGTTCTCCTTGATTGGCCTTTTATCCACATTATTGACTCCAAAACACTCCATAGTCTCTTCCTAACTTGGATTAGTTCCTGCGAAGCAAAAAAACACCAATTAGAGTATTTTGTTATCATTTATCCTTTAAAACAACAATAAAGTCTGGTATATTTAGAGTGTAAATAGCGTATATATAGCCTACTATCACATATTCATACTAACAATAGCAAAATTCATCATAAATGGTAAGTACAAAAGGAAGAAAGGAAGAACTCGATGTTGAATTATCCTCCTTGTTGATTGCCTCTCCTTGCCTTCAACTAAGATGTAAAAACCTTGATAATGTCCCTTTGGGCGAGCTGGACCTCTTATAGATTAAGTGGAATTACCCCTGAACTTCTAAGTTTACCCCTGAAATTATAATCTTCGAACTGGACTAGCGCAGCCGAGCTCGCACCCGCGCTAATGGCCGCACATATAGCACAGTATTCTGTCTCGAGTTCCTGGGCTAGCACGGTCGCACTAGTGGGAGCACTAATGGTCGCGCCAAGCTGGTCATCATTTTAGCTCATCTTTTCTCTCTACTGTCACACGCACTCAGCTCCAAGTGGCTTCCCTTGTTTCAATTTAGCTCCAAACACTGTCTTAAGTCCTCATAAGTGCAACTCGCTCCTGACAAACATGAAATTCACAATTAGAGCCAATTTATCATCATTTAACTATCCTAGAATAGTGAAACATTGTCAAGTTGGGGCATAAATAGTCTCCAAATTACATGAATCTAGCCTATTATCAACACCCCACACTTTAATCATTGCTAGTCCTCGAGCAATCCACCACACTCTATAAAGGTTCCTTCACTAAGCTTTTCCCCTAACGTATCACACCAAGAACAAATCACCAAAGTTATGTCTAGCAGTGTACAATCTTTGCCTCAAAAGTCGACTCTCACATGTCGTGCAATATTCGTACTTACTCAAATTACTCTATACAGAAGTCAAGACTTACCTTTCCTTCGTGAATCATATGCCCTCACATCACACAAGAGAGTAGTTCCACAAATAATAATATTAAGAAGAATTAGGAACTTATACAGACAAAAACCGATCACTTTCTGAAAGAAAATTCATATGCCACACAGATGCACCATAGGCTTGCCCGTAGTGTACTACTCTACTAATCGAGCTCATTCAGTCAAAGATCAATTAGGACTTCATTTGGTTGTAATGTAGGCTAAGGGATGGGTAGGATATATTTGGATATAGTGACTAACCTCCCTAAGAACTTTTAATACAATCACATTAACATTAAAAACCATACTTATGTCAACCAGGCATTCCACCACACCTCTATTTATAACATCCCACTCTATTAGGTGCAATTGTATCAAGTCACCACTTATCAAGTACTACATTTACTCATTCTCTTTTTTTTCTTTTTTTCTTTTTTCTTTTTCTTTTTAAGTGGTGCTTATTAATTTACTTTTTCAAATATTGTACCTTTTCTCCATTTTATCGGTTCCACTCAAAAACCAAACCACCACCCCCACTTTAGCTTTTGCATATTTCATAACCATTCAAGTGCTCATGGGAGGTAAAAGGGTTCAAACATATGGGTCGTTCAAATAATTGGGTAAGGTTTGTAATGTGGTTGCCAAAGAAACAGGCTTATAGGCTCAACGGGGCTAACTACGATGTATTGCATTTAGGTGGGTCTGCTTTATATATCTGGCTTAACAAAGAACTGCCTATATCACTTCTAAGACTGAATAAAGCTACTATTTCGCTTTGCAAACAGACGGGGCAAGTTCTAG